CCCCCCCTCCCCCCCCCCCCCCCCCAGTGGGATGGGGAAGAAAGTCGGAAAAAGAAGTAAAACTCCTGGGTTGAGATAAGAACAGTTTAATAGAACAGAAAAGAAGAAACTAATAATTATAATGATAACACTAATAAAATGACAACAGCAATAGTAAAAGGATTGGAATGTACAAATGATGCGCAGTGCAATTGCTCACCACCCGCCGATCGACACCCAGCTAGCCCCCGAGTGGCGATCCCCTGCCCCCACCCAGTTCCTAAACTAGATGTGACGTCCCATGGTGTGGAGTACACCATTGGCCAGTTTGGGTCAGCTGCCCTGGCTGTGTCCTGTGCCAACTTCTTGTGCCCCTCCAGCTTTCTCACTGGCTGGGCATGAGAAGCTGAAAAATCCTTGACTTTAGCCTAAACACTACTTAGCAACAACTGGAAACATCAGTGTTATCAACATTCTTCGCATACTGAACTCAAAACATAGCACCATACCTGCTACTAGGAAGACAGTTAACTATCCCAGCTGAAACCAGGACAATGTTGTAAACTCAGTATGTCACACATGGTTGAGTCTATAAATAAAAAAGGTGACTGAAAATTCCTTGGGGAATTAACATTATTGGGGCGATTGCCCAATATGTGGAGTTGGATGCGGCAAGTTTTGGAAGAGATTGTGTCTGGCTGAGGAGCCTCCCTTTTGAAGGAAAATGAGCTTCAGAGCAGTTGGATAACATTCAAAGAAGGAATAGTGTCAGTATGTCTGTGTTACACTTCTTTGGTTTGGATGCTCAATGTTTTTAAGTGAAGCCGAAACTTTCCAAGGAAAGGACATAGATGCAGAATTACATCAGCTGCTTCCAGTAAATCTGTGACTATCCCGTACAAGCGCTATCTCACCAAATCAGACTTCTCTCATCACCGAGAGCTGCTGAGCTGTCACATGCTTGCGTGTGCCTGTAAGCTCGGTGTGTAGCTTCAGAAAAGCTACCTGTGAGGTGAAGAGATCATATTTAATATATAATTAGGAAAGCAGATGCATTGGAGACCACAGTTTAGTATTTGCTTTGATGGCCCACAGGGGACACTTTCTTTTGTATGAAAGTCACTAATAAAAAAGTTGGAAGTGCTAACTAATGACAATGAGCAGCTGAGAGCGTTGTTGTGTTTGGAGGGTGCACATAGAGCTCCTCTTCGTACGCACAGAAGTACCTTGCTGTTCTCAGTGTCATGAGCACGTTCAGAGCCCTAGATTCATGGATGCTTTGCAGTTTACTGTTGGCATGTAGCACTTCCTAAAAGGGCAATTTTGAAATGACTACAGATGTGGTAAGGCAGAAGATTAATTGGGATATGCTCTATGTGGTCTGTGTGGTTTAGCTGCATTTTCAATGTCTTCACCATCATAAACGAGAGTGAAAAGAAGATTTTTTTTTTTAATTTTTTTTTTTCCTCTGGAGCTGATCAGTTGGACAGATCTCTGATGGTAGTAGTACTCTTCTATTATCCAAGGATAAACCTTTTTAAACTGCTTCTGTGCTAAAACTTGAGGATTTTATCAGAATATTCATGTTCCGTTTTCCAGATGGTCTCATTCTTACTTCTTGCCACCAGAAAATCTTCTGTGTGTGCATTTCATCAGCTACATACAAGCCAGCAGTTTAGTAACGGATGTATGTGATTGCTTTTATTTTTGCTGTCTTTTAGCAAGAGCGCAGAGGATGCAAGAGTTGTGTTTGTGCAGGTGTTATGCATTTGGAGAAGACAGGCTGAGGAAATGTCTCTGGCCCTTCCAGCAGTAAAGAGAGGCTTGCAGTGGCCTTTCATTCCCCTGGGAGGTTATTTACAGCTTTGGGCTGGTGCCATAGATCTGTGCAGGTGATTATTTTTTTTTTTTCCCCCCTCTTGATGAAACAACTACTTTAAGCCTGATCCAGGAGCAATCCTTTGTGTTGGGCTGAATCAACTACTGGTGTAGGAGTCCAGTTTGGACCTGCAGCCACAGTGGACTTAATGTTGTCTGTAGATGCTGCCTAGTACTTTTTGCTGCTCACCGGCATCCCTGCTTGCCGGCTTTGGATCTCCTACAGGTCCAGACTCTAGGACATGGTGGTGGCATTGTGGTGTGGTTGCAAGTTGTAAAACATAAACAGGTATCATGCCCGTTGCAAATGTCTGATACTTGAGTTCATGTTGCCTGCAAAGGCTTGGCTCATGACTTGGTGAATGGGAGAGAAAATAAGAACAACTTTTACATGATTCCACGTTATCTTCTTGTTGAAATTACTCCTTGAGTGTCCTTCTCAGCATCTGAGATGGTCATCAAGAGGAATGTGTTTCTGTGCTACCCTTGAGGACCCACACTGAGCAGAGCTTTGGTCAGCTCAAAGTTGCTGCAGTGTGGTCTGCTGGTTGACTAAGCAGTGCCAATTGCTGCTGTTAAATGCTCTACCTGCTTGGTGAGTAGTCATTTCTGCACGGAGTGTGTTGGCTCAGTGGCTGCCAGTTGATTATCTGAGGCTTAAGAATTTTGGGTTTGACACATAGAATCACTCCTGACTATGTTTTTCCAGTTGTTTACCCTGATTTCTAAAGGCTGTTGGTGAGTGCTTTCAGGGAGATGTACTTAGTTCTTTAATTTGCATCTACCAGTCATTTGATTTGGATTGTTGGGACTCTAGCACTTTATAGTAAGACTTGTTTGTGTTTTCTACAAACTCATTAGACTTCCAAGCCATTTCCTTTGGATTAAGAATCTGTCTTCAGGAGTTGCTTTCACCTTCCCTTTCACAAGTTACATGTTTCCTGTCATCGTGTGCATTTTTGTGTAAACCTGGAGAGCAAGGTGCTTTACAAAGTGTGCTTGTGTTGGGTTTTTTTTTGTAAACCAGAGATGTTTCTTGTCATAATGCCAATGCTGGCAAGCAGCCAGCGCTGGCAAATGGCAAAAATTTGCTTCAAATAGATTGACTCAATGGCTCAGGCTGCTCCTGCATTTCTTCCCCATGGGAAACAGATTCCCATCATTCTACTCAAATGGTTCTTAATCACCTTAGAAACACAACCTTTTGCGTAATTCCTGCTGCTATTACACTTTAATTTATTTAGGGGAAGTATCCCACAGGTTTCTTTAGGCCCAGAAGAGTCTGGAATAAAAACAGCTCCATCCTGGTAGGAGATATCCTCATCTCTCTTCTGCTGGAGGAGAGGGAATGCTAGGAGAGCTGTAGCAAGCCGTGAAGTCTGGACAATCTCAAAGGGTATTTAACCAAGCAATGTTAGTGGACTTTTTGAACAAGGCTGACAGGACAGTCTAATCTTGATCGGTGTGTCCAGATGTGTTTCCTAGCCACCCTGCTGATCGTCTGAGGTGTTACTCTTCTGGACAGGCACTTTGACTTAACTACAGTTAGTCATCATAGCCATGCCCCCAAGTTCTTGCAGCTGGTTTATGCAAGTCCTTTTCTGTTTCAAGTTGTTGGTTGAGACGACAGAGATCTCGGCATCACCTCTTGCATGCTGTGTTTTTCATTGTTCCTGCTGTGTAGATGTGCCGTAGCTGGGGCAGCCGTCATTCACCATTCTTTGCTTCAAGGTATTGTGGCTGTGGAGGATGGGTCTGCACAGGCACTGGGGAGAGCTTTATAACCTACTGTCCAGATGATGTGCATGGTCTCAACTTTAAGCTGTATTCAGCTGGTGGTGTGTTGAGTCCTCTCTTTTCCAGCCTTGCCCATTGCCCCTCTGCAGAACTGGTAAGACTAACTTTGTAATCCTGACCCTTGTCAGCTTGTTGTCCTTGAGGGTGGTCCCAGGACCCACAGGGAGCACATACACAGGGTAATTTAAATGTATTTTTCAATTGGTGGGTTTGGGTTGTAGTAGAAAATGCAGGTTTGCCCCACTAATGCTAACAAATCCTGGTTTTCAACTGAATGTAGTCCAGTGCTTTTCTCTACCAGCATCACTTTCTTTGGGGAGCTTTTCAGTGCTTGGTAGCCAAATGAATTGCTGATGCTGACTGTCTCAAAATGTATTAACATGCTCCTGTACAGTGAAAGGGTTTTTTATTTATTTTTGCCTTACTGTTGCATTATACGTTACATATGGTTTGACTCTTCCTGAAATTCCGAAAGATGTGGGATGTTTCACTGATTGTTGCTACACTGAAATCTCTTTCCTAAATCGTGCCCTTGATGATCAGGGTGCAAGTGGGATATGGGAAAGGATATATATTGCCAAATAAACATGAGGTGACTTTGCAGGAGGAAGCACATGAACTTTTGCTTACTTTGTTTACAATCTCTCTCTGCCTTTGCTGTTGTGGAGGTTAATAGGTAGTATTAAGAGCAAATTAGGCCTCCTAGGTGATAGCAATATAGTTACCCATTACTGTTCATAAACTTCGTGTGCTTCAGGGAAATGGCAATGTTGCGTGCCTTGTACAGGAAAGGCAGTCTTCTCACATGTAAAGAAACAGCTATTTCAGTACAACGGAATAGTTTCAATGTTGCCCATGTAAAAGTGCTGTTCACCAACAAACACAAAAGTCAACTGTATTTGCCACCTTGTTTAGAAGCAATGCATTTGTGAATTAAATAGAAATATAGATCTTCTCAATTTATTTATGAATTTCCTTATTTTCTTTTATTTCCCTTATTTAAAGAACTGTCTTTTAATGTCTAAATGTCTAAAGAATTAAATACCAGTTATAACTATTGTGGCAAGAAATTGCTCGAGTTGTTTGGTGAAGAAGAACGCTCATTATTTTAAAATACTTGAATGTCCTGTGGTCAAGATAGTGGTCACAGCATGTTTCATGCATCAGTTTCTGTTAGGTTCTTACATGGACAGGCATTTTCTTGCTTCAATACCAAAGGACACATTTGCTGGTAGGCACTATCACCTTCACAGTGTCATAGCATTCTTGAAAACTGAGGATAGGGATTATCTGCAGCAAATCCATGGTTACTGGGGATGCTTCATTATAATGCATTTCACTTGAGAGCTGCATGCGCTGTCCTAATATTTTTGTATAACATAAGGTTGCAAGTGGATATATCAGTATGAGAAATAGACTTGTGTCTGTGAAGAAACTTGTGCTGAGGATTGAACTTTGCCCTGCCAAGTCAAAGGAAGTTTTTGCTGTATATTAACAATGGTTTTTCTTCTAGTTCAGTGAGCAGAATGAGCACTGGGGTCTGGCTCCAGATGGGAGATGGCTTTCGTTGGCCATGCCTGGAGAGCACTCATTCAGCAGGACACATCCTGCTAGTGTCTGACAATCACAGGAATGATTTGATGGAAGGATTTGAATCAGGATCAGTCCAGAGACAGTTTGGGTATATAAGTTTCCCTTTGGTGATGACAGTATCTAAAATGGGCACTTTTGCATAATCCCAGTTGCAGCCCTGGGAACACCCCAATGGCTTGGAGACTGGATGAAACAAGAAGACACATCTTTGTAGTGATCTGAAACAGGGGTCTGTACAGGTGTGACTTCCTTTTATTTCAGAAATCAGTGGGTTACTTGTTGTTTTTGCTGCTAAATAATTTATTCTCTAAACTTAAATATTTATTGAGTTACAGTAAATAAATTATTGCCTGCCATTTATCTTGTTGTTTGTGGGATGTTAAGGTAATTTCAAGGTGACTCACAGATAGCAAGGCTTTCTGTTCTGATGGGTACAACTCTCTTGAAACAGTTTATACAGTGTTACTGGACCACTCTGGCAGTATCCCTACAAGATGCATGTGGGTACCTAAGAGGAGGAATCCCTTAAGATTTTTTTGCCTATTTGACACTGATACACACAATATTGATGTGGGAAAGACCTGTTTCTGTGACTGGTGGTTGTTAATGTGCTTTGGGCTGGGTAACTTGGTGGTCTGTGTTTTACAACCTGCCGTTTCTGACTTTCCCTTTTATTTCCTATTTTTTCCCTGTTTCAGGGGGAAAAAACCCTCAATGGTTTTTTTTTGTCAGTTGTCAATGTTAAATGTTTCTTCTCATCCATGCTTGTCAATGGGGTCATGTACCTTATGAGAGATACCATCATTGTTCAGTTTTGGAGTAGAGGACCACCTCCCTAAATTGCCAATCCAGTGTCCCTGATATGTTGTCGTGGTTTAACCCCAGCCAGCAACTAAGCACCACGCAGCCACTCGCTCACTCCCCCCCCATCCAGTGGGATGGGGGAGAAAATCAGGAAAAGAAGTAAAACTCCTGGGTTGAGATAAGAACGGTTTAATAGAACAGAAAAGAAGAAACTAATAATGATAACACTAATAAAATGACAACAGTAGTAATAAAAGGATTGGAATGTACAAATGATGCGCAGGGCAATTGCTCACCACTCGCTGACCGACACCCAGCTAGTCCCCGAGCGGCGATTCCCTGCCCCCACTTCCCAGTTCCTATACTAGATGGGACGTCACATGGTATGGAATACACTGTTGGCCAGTTTGGGTCAGGTCCCCTGGCTGGGCACGAGAAGCTGAAAAATCCTTGACTTTAGTCTAAACACTACTGAGCAACAACTGAAAACATCAGTGTTATCAACATTCTTCACATACTGAACTCAAAACATAGCACTGTACCAGCTACTAGGAAGACAGTTAACTACATCCCAGCTGAAACCAGGACATATGTTAAATATATACCTGTGAAGCAGCTGCAAAGTCGAAGCGGCTTACTCGAGTGGTTAGCAGTGGTGGTGAGCTCTGTTGAAAAAGCAGCTGGGAGGATGGGATGGAACAGGCTGGAGGCAACTGTAACTGGGGAGAGGAGCTGGATGAAAGGGATGCTGGGGCTGAGCTTGTGCAGTGTGTGCCTCAGCTGTGCCTGTACCAGGAGAAGGCGCCACCTACTACCTCCAGAAAAGTCCACCTTGAGATTTAGCAAGGCAGATGGCAGGTACTGTCGTGGTGTGATCTTATAGCAGAACATTTTTGTGGTCTTGATCTTTTACGTTATCCTCTTTGCTTGCCTGTGCCTAGATACCTGGGAGGTCCCATTTGAGGAGATCTCGGAGCTGCAGTGGCTAGGCAGCGGTGCACAGGGAGCTGTTTTCCTGGGCAAATTCCGGGCGGAGGAGGTGGCCATCAAGAAAGTGAGAGATCAGAACGAAACAGATATCAAGCACTTGCGGAAACTCAAACATCCTAACATCATTGCGTTCAAGTAGGTTGTGAAACTTGTTAGAAACATACCTTTATCCAGGAAAGATCCATTCACTTATGTACCCTGGCCAAGTTTTTAAAATCCAGGAACTAAGCTGTCTGTAGGACAAAATGGGTGGTCATTCTTCCTCTCAAATTGTCACACATTCTTGTGGAAAAAAATAACCCAACAAAAAACCCCCAAACCCCCAAACAACTATGGACACGATTCCCACCCAGTGCTGCACTTTGCATGCAGGCTCACAAAATGCATACTGTGAACCCTACAGATCTGCAGGTGTGGAAGTTGAAGGAAACCCACCCCTGTCATCAGTGAGGTTCCTCCTGTGCGAAGCATGTAGGAAACATTCCCCTTCCTGTTCAGTAAGGTGGTATTAGCAGAGGCTTGCCCAGGCAGAGTAAACAGGTTATTCTCCTGCCCCTTGATTGCCGCCTTTGAGAGTTGCTCTGGGACTTTTACTTCACTGATCCTCACTAGTTGTGTGTTTTCTTTGACAGGGGAGTTTGCACTCAAGCCCCATGCTACTGTATTATCATGGAGTACTGTGCACATGGACAGCTCTACGAAGTCCTGCGAGCAGGGCGGAAAGTCACCCCTCGGCTGCTTGTGGATTGGTCCACGGGGATTGCAAGTGGGATGAATTATCTGCACCTTCACAAAATCATCCATCGAGACCTCAAGTCACCAAAGTGAGTCTCTAGCTGCTTAAGCATCCCCCAGTTGTGGTTGTCTTTTTTTTTTTTCTTGAGGAATAGTTTAAAGTTAGGTCAAAAGCCCCGTTATTTTTTTTTCTATGTCGACTCAAAACTAATGAGAGTGAAACTAATGAAACTTGTTGGCACTCCCTCCTGTGCTGCGATTTAACAAGACTTGGAAATTTTACCAGTATCTTACATGATAAATAGCAGTAAGGAAGTATTTCTAATGGTCTGATGGTGTCTGGCCCTTTTTGAAAGTGGGATATTCTGTTGCCTTCTGCTTTTTTATTTTTCTTATTTGTTTTTTTGTTATTTCTTTGGTTTTCTGGAATGCATCTTTCTCATTGCTCTGTTGCTTTCTGACTAAAACTATCTGGCTGCTTATATTGTTATTCCCTAGATGTTTATCACTTCTTTAGCCTGTGATATGACTGTGTTAAGATAATACCTTTAGATGGTTTACAGTGCAGTTTAAGGTACAGCTTTACTAAAATTTTGAAATGTCCCCAGATATAGTGAATCTTCAGTGACTTGTTAATCTGCAGTTTTATCAACATTGATTTTTGACTTTCAGCATTTAGAAATGCATTTGAGGCACAAAGCACAACCACCCCAAAGAAAGTGAGTGCCTTCATTGGTGAAAATGCATAATCTTTTTTCTTGTACTGCAATTGTGAACAGCATGGCCTCATCAACTGCTCGTGTTGATTAAGAAGGAATTTACTCCCAGCGGCTGTTGTGGTACAAGAAAAATTGCAAAATGCTGATTTCTTTTTTTTTTTTTTCCTCCAGCGTTTTAGTTACACATACAGATGCAGTAAAAATTTCAGATTTTGGTACATCTAAAGAACTCAGTGATAAAAGTACCAAAATGTCTTTTGCGGGAACTGTGGCTTGGATGGCCCCAGAGGTGATACGCAATGAGCCTGTCTCTGAAAAGGTGGATATCTGGTGAGTAGTATTAATGTTTAAGTATCTTTACCTTCTGTTTAGCCACTTGGTTTCCCGGCACTTTACATATTCAGCACTCTTTTCTCATCCTAAGCATGGGTATAGTTTGCTCTGTGGTGGACTATCCCTTTCTCCATCTGCTGAGTGCCCTGAACTTTGTTACTGAACCATGGGCTATAACGGAAAGAGAAATGACATACATGCGCAAAAGCTGGGTGTTGAGATCTGAAGGTACCTAATAAGACTCAGTGCAGACTATCTTGTGTCTTGCAGTAAGCAAATGCAACTTTTCTTCCCTGTGTCATTAGTCAGGCTAGAGCTTTCTTCCACTCCTGGTGCTCAGGGCTGCCTCAGCAACTTCTGCAGCCAGGGTATTTTTCACTTGCTTTCTACCCTCTTTCAGGGCCACACTTGAGCTGTAGGGAGGCCCCTACTCTGCTGCCTTGAAGGGTCTGACCACCTTTTGATTTCTGCACACTGGGCTTGGCTGTTACACGTACAGCTCCAGTGAGTCTAAGCCTGGATCCAAGAGGGAGGAAAACAGGGTACATTGTAAGAGTTTTGAACACCCGTTTCCATCCCATGTGAAATGTATTCTGTGTCCAAAGGAACACAAGGAAAGGTTCAGATCTCCGTACTGTTGGCTTTGGAGCTCCTTTGGGATGCCTCTTCACAGGTTTCAGGGTTCTCAAGGGAACTGCATCTCTGTTTCTGCCTTGTTATTTCTGCATATTAAATGTCAGTAGCCAGGACAAACGCCCTTCTCCCTGCTTTACAGCCAGGATGGATTTTCCTTCTTGTGGTTTTTCAGCTTCAAATGCTGTCACCTCCCTTACACAGCATGAAGCTGCAGGTCAAAGCCACGGGTGGTTCAGAGTACAAGTTGAGGCAGGCAGCAGCCTGCTGCTGGTGTTTTAGCTTGAAGCTGGGTCATGACTTTAAGTCAAGATTTCCTGTAGGGAAAGGGAAAGTCTTGTAATCTGTGGTATACAGCTCTTCTTGTGCCCACAGTGTTTTGTGTGTTCATTTCATGTAGATGTAGCAGGCCATAGCATAGCCAGCTCGTCTAGGAGAAACTCTTGGGTTGTTTTGGAAAGAAAATACACTCACCATTCGTCTTCTGTGCTCCTCTCTTTGAATCACAGGTTCATGAGGAGGAATAGTGCTGGATTTCCACTCTCAGCTTTCTGTCCTTTAGAGTGGCTTATGTTCAGAAATATTGTGTGGGGCATCATGTCCAATAAAAATCAACTGCTGACTCTGCTGAGGAGCATGGGCACAGCTTTATTCCTTTACTCAGTGATTTAATGATGTTGCTCTTTGGTGCAAGTTTCTTTCGAGTCCGCTGCAGTGGTGATTGCTCAAACTCCTCCTTGACATCCATTCCTCCCCCAATATGAGTAAAAGCGGTGTTCATGAATGCTGGCAACAAATGAGAACAGTTCCTAAGCTGCTTATATGTCTGCTCTCTCTCATCTTTAACAGCATGCTTAAAAAAAAAAAAAAAATCTATAATCTTATTAATCAGGAGTCTTGAAAATCCCTTGTCAGTTCTTAATCATAACAAAGCTGAAACCAGATGGGGTTTCCTGGTAGTTTGTCCAACTACCTGGATCCCTGCTTTCCTGCAGCCCACGGAAAAAAATTTTGAGGGAAAAAAATATTCAAATTGTGCTTGTTTTGGTTTTTGGGTTTTTTTTCCCCCACATGATTTGAAGCCAATGGGCTTTGAAAGTGCAACATTTTTCACATGAAGTTCTGTTTCCTGACTGATGGTTGTTCAGACCCAGGCAGTTTGTCCCTTAGATGTTCTTCTGTACTTAATAAAAGCAACTTGATATTAGTACAAGCCAAAACCACGCTTCTCACTTTTCACCTGGTTTGACTTGCCAGCAAACTTGGCAGGGTTGGTGTCCCACAGATGGATGGGGCATGCAAGTAAGGTGATACATCTGGGTTTGTAATTGAGATGGTTGTACCTCACCTCATATCGCAGCCTGGTTGTTAATGTACAGTAAGAGTGGTGTTGGTTCTCAGCAGCATTTTGTTTACCTCTGTATTGACTGGTTTGATATTTCTTTGGTGTTTTATTGGGTGAAGATTGTAAATAAAACAAATAACTGTTTGCTGTTATAAATTAAGGTTTTGGTCCTTACTGATCATTTCATTAAGGAAGAAATGCAAAGTGAGTTTTCTTACCTTTATTTTTCAGTTCTTGTAATAGGAGGTTCTTTTCCAGGCAGAGTTCTCTTAATTTTTTCTTTATCCTTCCTTTCTTCAGCACAAAAGAAGTATCAGATGAGACTGCATGTGCTTTTGATACTGACACTTAGGCATGTTGCGTTTGTTTCTTAATTTCTGTGTTGCAGTAGTTGTAGCGCTGAGTCTCAAACCTATGAAACTCTTACCTAGTAGTACACATAACAGCAGAGGGAGCTTTTGGCTAGGGGGAAAAAAAGTTAAATGCAATGTAAAAACCCCCACAAAACCTTTGTTGTGTTGTCTCTGTAAGACACCAGTTCTATCTGTCCAGTAGTAGATGACGTGTTCTTACCAATAAGAACAGTCAAAAGTCTATCTCAGAAAAGCTAACTTTCCTTCTCATTTCACAGGAGTAAGATTTAGTTACAGAAAGTGTACTTTCAGGATTTTTAAAATCTCACAAAGAAATAGGAGAGAGTGAGTGAAAACCAGTGTGGTTTGGTGTTCAGCCCAGTGCTGGGGCAGAGGAGGAAGAGTTACCTGGTGTGTGAAATAGCTACTCTTGGTTAAAAATTAGTACATAAACGCTGTTGCACCTACTTGCGATTTCAGATCAGACATGCCTATTTCCCTGTTTTGCCAAACTGTTTTTTTCAAGCTCCAGATGTTTCTGTTAAATTGAATTCACACAGAAGCTTTTATCCTGGTTTATTTCTTCATCAGGTCATTTGGGGTAGTTTTGTGGGAGCTGCTTACAGGAGAGATTCCCTACAAGGACGTGGACTCTTCAGCCATCATTTGGGGAGTGGGCAGTAACAGCCTGCACCTTCCTGTCCCTTCCACCTGCCCAGATGGCTTCAAAATCCTCATGAAGCAGACCTGGTAAGAGCCTGAACTGCACAAACCTAGGGCTGGCTCTCAGCTCTTGCCAGACTCCCAGTAAAACCAGAGTCAGGGTGGGACTGTTGAGCCCAGAGCAGAGGGCTCTTAAATACTCTCACACTTGTCATGAGGGTGGTAAGTTTTAGCATTTTGGATTCTGCTTCCTTGTGGCAGCAGGCTCGGGCCCCAGAAAGACATTTGGAGCTTAGAGGAAGTAGGAAGAGACCTATCTGGTTTGCTGGGTGGATGGGGCAGGGGAGGGAGCAGGCAGACACTGTTGAGACGGGGTAGTGAGGGGGAAGGAGTTGAACAGGAGAGAAGTCGGGGAGTAGAGCTTGATAGGAGCCCTAGCAGGGTGACAGTTACCTGTGAGTTGCCTGTCCAGTGTGAATCAGGAGCAGGCAGCATCAAAGTCATCTTCAGTAGCCTTCACAGAGGTGGTTGCTTTGTTGTAGCTCTGTGGGAAGAGAAAAGGAGCTGGAAGGAAAGTAGGAGTAAAATTTCTTGAGGCTGGCTCCAGAGTGAAAGGAAACAATTTTTCACTCTGAAACCCCTTTGTAAGTGACTGGCTTTTGAACTGGACAAAGAGAAATTGGAGCTTTCTGGATGAAACCAGGATTTTACAGGTATAGGTATGGAAAATGCTTTCAGTTTCCTCCATATGCCAAATTAGAGTTGAAATTCTTTGTCTTTGGTTATGCATTAATGCTTTTGTCTTTGTAATTGCATTTTGACACAGAATGTAAGTGGTCTTCCAGTGTTTTCCCACTCCATGAGTTTTACCAGCCATCCTCTCAATGGCAGAAAGCCAAAAACAGGCCAGAGCATCTACGGATCTTTTCAAGTGGCTGTTTACCCCCCTGACCCTGAGCTGCAGCAGGTCGTGCTGTTGCAGTGATCTGTGCTGAGGCGTGCTCTGCCTGGCTGTGCCTCTACGCGGGGCTGCACAAGTCAGGAAGCAGTGTGTGGAGCTCTGAACACCGAGTACATACGCTTGTATCCCCACCTAGTGGAAGTAGGTGGTTTGTAGGGGAGGTTTGTAGGGTTTGTAGGCTGAAGAAGCTGTTTCTTGTCCTGAGCACTGAATCCATTCAGCAAGTCTGGTGGGTTCAGTCCTGAAGCTCGAGTGCTGGTCTCGTTTCTCAAAGATACAAATGGTTTTGTACTTGAATGTGATCTTAAAGAGAAGTTCAGTGCATTACAATACTGTGTAGGGTCAGGCATGTACTATATGGCAACATGAATACATCTGGTGTTTATAGACTCCCTGTTTTGTTGAATGTAAATTGTCATTTCTACTAGATTGAGTATTCCCATTACAAAACTTGGAAATAAATGGGATAATATACTGAGATCTGTTTCTTCTTGACAAACAAGTTAGGAACAGTGTCAGTTTGTATCCTATCCTTCACTTTGTAATCACATTTTCCTATTTTAAATGGTTTTCATCTCTCTTTGTTTCTTCAGAATAGATCATCACAAACCAAAAACTGAATACAAAACAACTCTAGCCCAATAAACTCATATTCAGCAAAAGAGAAAATCAGAAAAGCTCCTTTGCTCTAATCTGTCAGCTACACGATTCAGAGAACATGTTCTATTGAGAAACCCTTTCAGAAGGGCAGGAGAAGGTAGCAGTATTGACTTCATCTCACGCTTGGGTATTTGTCTGTTTTGCTCCAGGCAGAGCAAGCCCCGGAATCGTCCCTCCTTCCGGCAGACACTGATGCACCTGGATATTGCATCTGCTGATGTGCTGGCTACTCCTCAGGAAACCTATTTCAAATCACAGGTAACTGGAGAATGGCTGTAGCCCATGAGTACTAGAGTTAGCTCCAAGGATCTGATTTCAGAGTCTGCACTGAGTACAGCAAAAGACGAGATCCATGATTTCAGTTTGATTCCTGGGGAGAAGCAAACTAATGGGTGTTTTAAAATCTTTTACCCAAGCTTTCACAAACTGAGACATCTGCCATCTTTAGTCAGAAACTCGATGTTGTCTCATTCACTTCTCCCTGAGACTACTGACTTCAGATGTTCTGCTCCCAGCTATTCTCCCAGTGCTGTTGTACAGGAGACCACAAGACTGCTAAGAGTGGAACCATTGCATTTATAGTGAAGATGAGCAGGGCAGCCAGTGGAACAAAGAGCTGTTACAGGGCAGTAAAGGGACTCTGGGACCTTCAGGGAAGATCTAAAAGTATGTTTTTAGAGATTCCTCTGAGTCTTACCCAGTGAGCTATTGTCTGCTCCCAAGAAGGGAATGAGAATGAAACCTTGCCTCCAGAGGATCTATACAGTGTTGGGGTGTATGTGAGGAAGCAGGTGTGTTTATTAAAGCTGCAAGAAGCAGGGCTTCAAGGGGCAAATAGAATTAGTATCACCCTAGTGACAGTCATCATTGTCAAGAATATAGGTTTCCAAATCATTAGCCTTTCTGTTTATTTTAAATGCTAAAAGGGAAGAAAATGTCTTAGGATGAAAAGAGCTTTAGGAATTTTTAAAAATATTTTTTAGAAAATGCAGATATGTTTTAAGTGATCTAATTGCAGCACAAAATTGGAAATACCATTTGAAAATGCTGAAACTAAACATGCTGCAATGTTGTTACCCAAAATAATTTAGCTAACAGAAACACATTTTCAACCCAAACCTGTAATTTTCTACGGACACAAAGAACGTTGCCCAAGAGTTTTTCTTTGGTGCAACCAGGCGTCCCAATCCTTTGTAAATACCTGAAAGTAAATTGCTTCTCTAGGCTGAATGGAGAGAAGAAGTGAAGAAACATTTTGAGAAAATTAAAAGTGAAGGAACTTGTATCCACCGGCTAGATGAAGAATTGATTCGTCGTCGAAGAGAAGAGCTGAGGTCTGTTGACAGTCTTTTCTGTTTACTGCTTACTTTTCCCAGCTAGCCTTCTCTTTTCTAGTTAAACGAACCCAGCTCCCTCAGCTTCTCTTCACAGGGCACGTGCTCCAGCCCCTGACTGTTTTCATGCTACTCTTGTACTGAGGACTCAGTATTCCTGCTGGCATAAATTTGGGCAGCCTAAATTCCTTGTGAGTCCAGAAACTGAAGTTCCCACAGGCATGCCCTAGGCCTTGAGCACTGCTTGGCTGAGGGAAAGCTATAGAGAAACGGTGGAAACTGTCCCTGCTCTTGGGCAGTCTGAACTGTTTGCTCTAGGCAAGAGGGGTAAAGGCTTGTGTGTTTACCAGGGAATATTTCTGCCTGAGTTTTGGTGTTTGTGATAACAGCGCTAAAGCAGGTACATCCATCTCAGTGGAAAAGGCACCTTGCAGTTTGCTGTGAGCTTTCTCTGCCCTGATACTTTCTTTGGATTAGTTATTTCCAGAGAAGTGAACACACTCCCAGCCCACTGGGAGTGAATGCACTATCAGCCCACTGAAATTAATTTTGAACATTAGACCAACTTAAAAATGAAAGCAGAATGTTTATTTAAGAAAGAAAAGTGTTATCTTCTTTTTTGCAAATATAGTTATGACAGAGAAACATAAACCAGCAAGTAGCAGTTCTGTGTCAAACCTGAGAAACCAAAGGAAACCTTGTTCAGCCAGTTTGATGTAGTTGTTGATGAGTGTTCCCTAGCCCTAGGGAGCTTTTGATGGTCACATCTTTCAGCTGTGGTTCAAGATGTCTTCTGCAACTATACTATAGCTGTAGGGACATACTGCTTTCTATGAAATACAAACAGATTACTTCTTCCCCTGTTTCTTTAGAAGCTGGTTTAGCCCCTTCTCTGTGGAAACAGGATGATCAGGGCTTGGTCAAAGGTCTTGTGGTTGCATGTGAGGCATTTGCAGCTTCTCTAGTGAGAAGCATTGCTAGTCTTTGAAGACTGTTAAATGCTTTCTGAATTATATCATGATTCTTTGCTGTATCAGGCTCTTAATTGTTATTCATTGTTAGCTCCATCTGGGAGCAATACAGCTGGCAAATTTGACTTTTAGAAGGCCTTTTCCTAAAGGACCTGTACTTTGCCTTATTCTTCTATCTTGGTCCATGGACATCAGACTGTGGAACAATGACTCTTCTGTTTTTCAGACATGCATTGGATATCCGTGAACACTATGAGAGGAAGCTGGAGCGAGCCAATAACTTATACATGGAGCTCAGCGCTATTATGCTGCAGCTGGAGGTCCGTGAGAAGGAGCTCATAAAGTATGTATCTCTGGGCATAATGGCATGCCATGCATGTGGCAATATGCATACAGGAGGAAAAAACCCAGTGCTTCATTTCTAAACTGCATAGTGGTACTTGTAGATTTAGTGTCCCCTGACAAACTTCCAGGGTAAAGAAAGAGCTGGCAAGCAGAGAGAGGCCCCTTCAGAGTAGATTACCACAGACCACTTAGTGCACGTATCTTTACCCAGTGTTGACTGACTGGGAGAAAGGTGCCTTTCCCATTTGGTGTTGGGATCCTTTGGCCCCTTTATAAAGTAAAAAGCAGTACTGTTTCTGGATTGTGCACCAGGGCCCTGTTCCAACTGCCTGATCTCTGCAGAGAGAATTTAGAAAATGACTATGTCCTTTCCCAGAACAGCATGTTGTGTTGCACCCAGCCATAGCTGAGAAACAGGCACGCAGTGTGCTCACAGTGGAGCTGTGTTTCTGTCCAGCAAGAGCTGCAGTTGGATAAAGAGAGAACTCATCTGGTTTTCTTTTTCTTCCCCAATGTTTCAGGAGGGAACAAGCAGTGGAAAAGAAATACCCTGGGACTTACAAACGCCACCCAGTCAGACCAATAATCCACCCCAATACAGTGGAGAAGCTGATGAAGAGGAAAGGGGTCTCCCATAAACCAGGCAGCCAGACTAAACGGTAAGAAGTAACAACCTAGTTCTGTGCCAGGAACCAGCGGTAAATCCTCATTGAGAGGCAGCTTACTTCCCTTTGAGTCTGATGACAACACAGGACTAAGCCAAAGGGGTGTTCACTCTTGGGCCCAGTCTGGTCCTCAGAACCACAATTGTTTAATTATCCCTTCTAACTGGGCAGCTCTCTGAAACCATTTGGTCCATATGATTTTTTTCACAGGTGATGGTGCTTTGACAGGAGGTATCTAATGTGTGTCCAAGCAAATATCATCTTTGACTTGAACAGTAATAAGCAGGGTGAGGGATTGTGGAAATTAGCCAGTCCTCAGGAAGGATGGATTCATTGTTGAGGAATTAAATTGGGATTTGAGATTTGGGAATTCATGATGTCCTTTCAGCTATTTCTCTTCTGCTTAACTTTCAGAAAGTGATATCCCCCCCCCCCCACTCCCGCCGAAGAGCTGTCTATTTTATTTTTCCCTTTTCTGGGATTTCCGGGAGTTAAGAGTCCTGATTAACAGTGAATAATCACTTCTGAATTAATATTTACACGTGCTTTTGAAATGAGCAGGCTGATAACCATCAGCAGATTGAGACCCTGTTGTGCTGAGCATTGTATATGCACATAGTAAGAGACATGCCCTACACCAAGGTCTTAGGAGGGAGCTATTTTGGGAGCAGAACATCAAAATAAGAGCGGAAAAAGGAGAGTATGTGGAAGATATTGGAAAAAGCAGCAAGTAAGGAGTGTAGAGCATGATGGGCTGAGCAGAAAGAACATTGAGTGGAGAGGATCAAAGGAAACTAAATGCAGAAGTCAAACAGCTGAAGAGGAGGGAAGCCTGTAGATTTTAGGAAGTAGAGTGTGCTTATGGCTACAGCTGCCTTTTCATCCTGCCTCTGAGCCAATGTCATTTCTTAGTTTGTGGTTTAATGTGTAACTTCCACTGACTGTCTCTTAGGCCAGATCTACTGAAGTCAGAGGGAATACCCAGCACAGAAGCAGCATCCAATGGCTCACCAGTCTCAGGAAGTCCCAAAATGTCAACACTGAGTGGCAAAAGCCGCTACCGCAGTAAGCCACGTCACCGCCGAGGGAACAGCAAAGGCAGCTACAATGATTTTGCAGGGATCTTGAAAAACCAGCCAGTGCAAGATGATGCACCTCCACCTCATAATCATTCTCATCATCCTGGCCTACCGCAGCAACCTGGCCACAGCCATCCCCATGGCCATCACTCACGGCTTCATGCCCACGGACAAGATATTGCCAACTGCGCAAACAACTTAAGGTACTTTGGCCCTGCAGCAGCGCTGCGGAGCCCTCTCAGTAACCACGCGCAAAGGCGGATGTCTGGTTCTAGCCCTGATCTCATCTCCGCTGCAATGGAAGCAGATTGCCGAAGGAATCTGGAGAGCAAAGAAAGCAAAGCTGATCATTGGGAGTGTTGCAAAACAGATCCATATAATTCTTGTCTTCAGTGCAGGGAAGAGGACAGTGGTCAGGTACAGATGTCATCTGTTGAAACAGGGATGAGCCATTCTCAATCACCAACATCTGTTTCCCTATATGAAAATGCACAGTTCATTGAGAACATGGAGGAAGGGGGCTTCAGCAGCTGTAAGTCAGCATCTGCCCTAGGGACTCCCCAGCACATGGCTTCCTCAGTGCTACCTTGCAAAGCAAGACCCGTTCAAAAGGTAAGGACAAAGCATAGTGACTGGACAAAAAAACCCCAAAGCTTACTCCTCTTTTCCCTCTCCATCAAAAGAAGTTGTGTAGCAAAGGCTGGTGTCTGGATATAGGATATCCAGACATATTTCCCACACACATAACAGTAGAGTTACATGTACAACTTTATCTTAAAGAAATCATACCTGTCTGAACTTTGCTCTGTGATCTGGACATACTTTTAAAATCAATTTTATTGAGAGGTACTGTAGGCATACTGGAGCACACTGCGTATAATGAGGGTTGTCAAATGTAGTTTTGATAGGGCCTAGTTCTGTTGCGTGCAATTTAGCCAGTTTTTGTTTGAGCTGAAACTTGGTCTACTGAATTTTTGTTGTTGAAACAGTCTCAAAATGTTTTCAAGCCTTTCTCAAAACAAAGGAAGGGGTAAATGCATTCTTTTGGTGATGTTAAATATCATGTAACTGTTTCATTGAGACTCTGTAGTGCTGCTGCACCTCAGAACAGAAATTCAACAATTGCCGTGGTCTTGGGAACATGCCTTTTGCTGCACTTGCCAGAAACTGTCCCTCTTAACTGAAAGTCATAGTTCTCATGTATTTTGTGAAGATTTTGCAAGAGTCAAAAAGGTGTTACGGCACAGTTGTACAGAAACAGTTCTTCTTCACTCCTCCTGTTTCCATCCAGGTGGTGAGAGAAGTAGGAACCAGTCTGAGCGGAGTTCAAAGAGCAGGAAAACTGGGCCTGGGTGGAAAAGTGAAAGAAAAGAGGATGAGTACCAGACCAAGAGTGTGGTTTGGGCCCAGAATGAAGGGAGGAGGACCTCGTATTACAAGGGGCTGGGATGAGATAGAGGCTGAGTCTGAACAAGGGGTTGGCAGGTTGGATAGGATAGGAGCTGGCTGTAAAAACCAAGAGAGCAGGGGGTGGATTTGGATGGGAGGAGGAGAATAAAAGGCTCTGTGCTCACTGAGGTAGAGAAAGGAACAAAACTCAAGTTTTCCTACTTGGTGAAACCCACCAGCAAAGGCTGTGTCGTTCCCCATCCTGCTCTATGATGGGCTCATGTAGAAGAGGGTTGAAGTCGTAAAGCCAAGAGTGCCAGATCAGCTCAATAATTTATGTCGATTTCAGTATGATACTAATTACTTGAGTTGCTTCTGTAAAAATCCAGAATGTTATGTACTCAGTGACTGCTGAAGTACTCCAGTGTATTTCAAAGTCAATCACTCCAAATTCAGAAACGGCAGCATTAACACCTCCTGAAATAATCTGCTGGTGAGAAGATGTCTGACTCGGTTTTCACTGGTACGCAGGTTATTTTCTTGTCTAGATTGTTGCAGCCCGTTGACACAGTGACTTTGTCCTGGAGGACCAAGGGGCAACCATGTAGTTGCATGTTTGTTCTTTCACAAATATGACACCATTCTTATCCTTGTTTTCTGTCAGAGTGGTGACGACTCTTCAGAAGAGGAAGAGGGCGAAGTAGACAGTGAAGTGGAATTTCCTCGTAGACAAAGGTAAAAGGTGAATTCAGTCTAATCTGTCTTTGGTGGGACAAAACTCAGGAGGAGAACTGTCATAGCAGCTGCAAAACCAGCACTGAAACTGTGGAAGGTGCTGGCAAAAGAACAGAATCTCGTTCAGTGCATCCCATCTGCCCTCAGTGATCCCTCGTGTTCACTCGCTGTTTTCAGCCTGTTTAGAGATGTTATCTCCAGCACAGCTTTTCTGCTGCAGGCTGTTTGTAGCACAACTTGATCGCACTTGATAACATTATTCAGCCTATAAAAATAAGCTGCTGCATCTGTTTCACCAGAATCAGACTTACTGGATTTGGCACCCTTTGTGAACTCTTTCAAATGCTGTTTATTAACTGTTGCTGCAGTGGGGCTGACTCCAGCGTCTTCATAGTGGAATTCAAGTAGGATTGAAGATCTAGGTGACAACACAGCAGATCAAATTTGGCGGTGTTGCCTGTAAAGTAAGAGACTTGAGGGAGTGTTCCTACCTAAGCATGTGTAATAGCAGTCTTTACGGTCCTGTGCTCAGGAAAGAGATCATGGCATTGGTGCTGCAGCTTTGTGAAAGCAGCTGCTTGAAGTGCAGAAGTGATCCAGTGGGCAAATTGGTTAAGGGTTGTTAGGAAAGGAGCAGAGAAGAAAATAAAAGCTTCTCTGCTGTTGTATACATCCATGGCACACCTGCAGCTGGAATCCTAAATGCCACCTTCATTGCCCCAGCTCAAAGACCATGGTAGAATTTGAAAAGGTACTGAGAAGTGTGACAAGAATGGTTAGAGATGGTTTCTGTAGAAGAAATTAAATCCATGAGAAATCTTTGTCTAGCAGGAGGAGAAGCAATACTGGAGATGCGTGAAATTGTGAGTTATGTGGAGAAAATAGACAAGGAATGATTTATTCATGTTAGGGAGACCTAGTGAAGCAAACAGGGGATTTAAAATGAACAAAAGGAAGTGCTTTTTCCATCCAAAACATTTTCAGATGTGGAGCTCGTTGTCAAGGTATGCTGTGGAAATCAAAACGTAAACAAGTCATAATTGTTCAATTTATGGAGTATAGATCCATCAGTGGCTGTTAAGCACTGTTATCCAGGTTTGAGCTTCAGCTCAGAAGTCTGATCTCCTAAATGATACAAACCAGGAAGATATGCCAGGAGAAAGCAGGCTCTGTCTGCAGCACACCCTGTTCTCATACTTTTCCCAGGTTATTGCTTCCTGCCTAGGGTTGGAGACAGAATGCTGGGCAGGATGAGTTTTCTAACTCATACGGTTCTTGTGTGATTGTTGCTTCTTTTGTGATTTACTAACTTAGAAAACAAATTGCTTTTCCTGACTTCAATGTGATGACCTGTTGTGGGTCTTCTGGCATCTTCAGCGACCTGATATTTTGTACCATTACTGTTGAATCCTGGCATGAGGCGATTTCCACATTCAAGTAACTGTGAGCTTATTTTCTGAGTGCACATACCTAAAGTCTAGCCTGGTTGTTGGGATCACTGCCAGGTGGTGTGGATTTTCCCCGTTGAATTAGCTTGAACCCTACAGTACAGCATATCTTTGGGGAAAAAGGACTGTTAAAGAAAAATAGGCTCCAGGGCAGGTCAGCTAGTATGAACATACAACAGACAAGACCAAATAAGAACAGATTAATTTATAGATGCAGGTCTTGAACTAAATTCTTCAAAAGGTGGTAGATCTCTATAGCTCCAAGATGTGAAAGGCAGCCCAACACTTTGCAGAGCTCTTGCTGCCAGCCTTGCAGATCAGTTATGACTCAGCTGAAGGTGTGTTCTTAGGGTGGGAAGAGGCTCCTGGAGAGTTGATGTAAATTTTTTTTCTAGGGATAGGACCTGTTTTGCTCAAAGACATTTTTGGAAGGGTCAAGCCCTTAGCCCAGTGAGGAGAAGCCACCAGGCAGTATTGCGTGCGCTGTGCCTGAGTGGCATCTGCTAGGGAGAACAGGACCAAGCAGCCTGGGCTGCCTGTTAGAGTGAGTGAGCCCTGTTCTTGTTGTGCTGAAGATGCCAGTTAAAAGTACAGGTGCAAAAATCTGCTCTGCATTGCATGCTTCAGAAAGGAAGATGAGAGGTTTGCCGGGGGAACCTATGTAAGGATGTAGCAGTCACTTTGCATTCACTGCACTGCTAATGTGAGGATTTTGATTGTGATGTATGTCTTGAAAGAAAGCTGACCCTTGCTACCTGTCAGAAACAGAGTTCCCTATGTTCGAGCTGTAATGCTGTGCTGGCTCACCAGCTCGTTCTTACTCTGTGCCATGAGAGTGTGCGCAGAAACCTGTCCACTGAGAAGCTGTAACTTTTCTAGCTGGCAGTGGGCTCCTGGGGAAAGGCTCACCTAGGGCTGAGTGGGCACCAGGAGTGGGGTCTGTCAAGGCCGGTTGTAGCAGAGTAGCTGAACACAGCACCCAGGAAACTGCTTTTCCTCTACAATTGGAGGCACTGTGTTACAAGCTGAACTACTCTCCTGGTTTGCAGACCTCACCGCTGCATTAGTAGCTGCCAGTCCTACTCAACCTTCAGCTCGGAGAACTTCTCTGTGTCAGATGGAGAGGAGGGAAACACAAGTGATCATTCGAACAGCCCAGATGAGCTGGCCACCAAGCTGGAAGATGAGCTGGCTGAGAAGCTGGAGGACATGTTGTCCCAGACTCCAGAGATCCCCATTGAAATCTCCACCCAGTCTGACGGGCTTTCAGACAAAGAGTGTGCTGTGCGGAGAGTCAAGACTCAGATGTCTCTGGGCAAACTTTGTGCAGATGAACACAGCTGTGAGGTGAGTTGTAAGTTTAGTTATCCCCTCTTCCTTCTATTGAGTAAAAAAAAAAAAAAAATAAAATAAATGTTATGGAAAGGAATCGGAGGGCCAGAAAGTTGGATGACTGCCTAGGAAATGCTGTGGTAGATGTTCTACAACAAAGCAACTGCTTAAATACCCAGTCTTTCTCATACTTGGCTGGAGGAGTAGACAGGGGAAAGTAGCACAAAGAAAGCGGAACATAATTTGCCGGTCAAGATGAGTGTGATATTGGGAGGCTATCAGGTTTGCAGTTGCATTAAGTGGGATAAAAAAATAGCACATAAAGCAGATAATTAAATGGAATGGATATAAACTGTCTGCCTCAAACTTATCCATCAGCAGCCTTGCTAGCAAAGTTAGAATGATTTTCTTCCCTTTATTGTCTTTCAAGTGTTTGGGAGGGGTAGGGCAGAGCCTGCTGCACCATCTTCTCATAACTCAGTCTGTGTTTGGTAGTGCTCTGACCAGATATTTTTCTGCTGTCCCCTTGTTGGGGTGAGACAAGTGACCTCCAGGGTGATTCTGTGCTGTTGCTATCTCCTGTGTGCTGCCAGTCTCTCCTTCTCTGCTGGTGGTGACCTTTGCCTCTGCTGTTACAAATTGGGATGGTGTGGTTGATCTGCAGTGCGGGAATGTTGCTCAAATCTTCCCCTTTCCTTTTGCTTTGCAGAACCCAGCACAGTTTGGAGAATCAGACTGTGACTCTTCTGAAGGGGAGTGTTCTGATGCCACGGTCAGGACCAATAAGCCCTGCAGCTCTGCTACTTGGTAATACAGATCTCCCCCAAAGCTTCCTGATACTGGCATTTTGATTTCCCTGAGATTCCACTTCATTCCCCTTCATCACACTTTACAGGAAGAGAAGATGCTTCTCCTTCCCACCCCAGGAGTGATTTGCAATAACCTGAATCTCTGGAAAATGTCCAAATGAAATTAATTCTCTTTGAGCATTTCAATCAAGAATGGCAGGGATGTATTTTATTGAATAATCTAGTTACTGTAACATGGATATTTATTTTTTTGACATTTTAACACTTTTTACTGTAAAGAGTGGATTGTATTTATAGACACACAGACTTGTTGCAAAAAAAAAAAAAAAAGTTCAGAAAGCAAGCACATTACAGAGAAACATCCTGGGAGTCCTGCCTGGACAGCTTTGTGTACAAATGCAGGGGGATTCTCTTGCTGCTTTCACAGGGGACCAGGCCTCATGGCCCTGAAGATTGGAGGACAGATCAAGCAAACTAAACCACTCAGTCTTATCAAGTGAGGAAGCATAAAAAGACCTTCTTATAGGGTAACCTGTGAACAAAGCATATTCAGTATAACCAGCTGGGTCATTTTTAATCAGAAGGTGGACATGTTCCTGGAGAAAATTGGTACCGAGGTGCTAACATCCAGGGTCTTCTGAGTCGATACATCCCCAGGAATGTAATAGTGGGTTTTATTTTAGGGATTTTTAGTTTCTTTTTTTAATCAGCATTTTGTTGTGAGATCCTGCAATTGTATTCTAACCTCGTCCTCTCGAGAATTGGTATAAGAGCACTTATTAACACCGTCCTTGCTTCAGTCTGGCAGTGTTGACCTCCAGTTGAGCAGGGAAACCTCTTTCAGATACAGTGTGCCATTTCCCAGTTTACTTCCTCCTCTTACCTCCTGTCTGTTTCAGTCAGTCAAAGAAATCAATCAAATCAGTGTTGGAAAAGCAAGAACTTGCAAACTGTGGAAAGCACATCCTGCAGAGCCTGAGCACTCTTCTGGGGAGGAAACTGGAGATACCTGTACTGGACTTGGAGAAGCAGTCTCTCGCCTACAACAGCATCGATAACCAGCAGAGAGCTGTGTGTTGAGGGGGAAGACTGGGAATCACTGGCCTAGATAAGAGCATCACCCCTGCTCTGTCTCCTTATTCACTGTACATTCTTGAAAGCATTAACAGCTGCCTGCCCTTCATGTCAGGCTTTGTGCAAAACAGGTCACACAGGGAATCTTGATGGTGGCTGTGGCACAGCTGTGTCTTGGGTGCACCTTGAGGCCCCTGTTTCTCCTTCAAGCTGAAACTCTGCAGGTGAAAGTGAGGATAGTACTGGTATGTGACAGGCCGAGGCATTGGCAGATGACAAAAATTTGTTTTCTGATAGAACTCATAGTGCCTTCCCTTCAAACACTACTCTCTTAAATCAATATTTAAAGAGAACAAAATGGTAGAGCACGTTTCCCCCACCCTTAGTTGATGTCCCCCCCTGCAAGAGCTTTCACTCTGCCCTTCCTAGCGTGCTGACTGGCGCCACTGTGCCATGTGTGCGTGGTGCACGGCCGCACTGCTGGGTGCTGCTCTGCAGACTGGCACACCAGCCTGAGATGAACGGCAGGAATGGACCATGGACAGGTACTTCTGTTGCTTTGTTTGTTTACATTTTATGTTAAAATATTGGTTTGAATTTAACTGTGGTAATTTATAGCCTCATGGCAAAATGAAGGAAAATGTCTTACTTATACAGAGAGCAGTATTGTATGAGTTAAATTATCCCGTATTTTTAAATTTTTGTAGCTGGACTACACACAGATCTTAAGTTATGATGTTATTTTATTATTTATTATAATTTCTGTAGATCAGAAGGTTGGCTTCACCGCTAGCACAATTGTAATCTGTTTGTGTGATGTTACCTTCTCCCTGGTTGCTGGGGGGGATGGGAGCAGAGCTGGTCTCAGTGGCTGTCAGTAGTTGCTGCCTCTTGTGATATCTAAGGATGCTGTTATACCAGGGCAGAGAACCTGTCAAGGTTGGTCTGAGAGGGATGGATGCAGCCAGCCTTCTGGGTCCTGTGATATTCCTTGTGGTCGAAGCTGCAATTTGCTCCTGTTGCTGGTAGAGTTGGCAGCCCCTGAGCTGGTGGGGAGTGGTGATCAGGGAGCGAGTGGCTTTTGAATTGATGAAGAACTGTCACAAGACCCCCTGGCAAGAGCATCCAAAAGGACAAGCGGAGAGGAGGGCAATTGCTCTGGGCAGCGGGTACGAGATCAGGGATGGCCAGCAGTGGATCCACATGGTGGATCACCCATGCAGGACCAAACAGGCTGCTGGAGAGGAGAGGGCATGACCGGCTCACCCCTGCCTGCAGCAGCAATACTCAGCTCTGGGTGCAGGCAGAATGCCATGGGGAGTGAAGCTCTTTCCTGGCTTGTTTCTTGTTTCTTCTCTCTTCCCATCCCTCTTTTCTCCTCCCAGATGTTCTCTGTCTCTCGGCCAGTGGCAGGAGGAGGTGGCAGGGCCAGAGGTGGCTCTGCCATTGTGGTGTGAGAGGGGTTTTGGTGTGGAAGAGGTGGTGCAGATGGTTACTCAGGGGGGCTGGAGGCTGCGGTGCAGGAATTTAGCAGTAGAGAACTGTGTGCAAGTAACACGCACACAAAGAGGAAGACCAAACTATTGCATGAAGAGAGGTTGAGAACTACCATCAAATGTCCCCCACAGCAGAGGATGCTAGGCCTTATGCCCCTGGAGAGACTCTGCCACTCAGATCTGGCAGGCTTCCTGAGCTCCCACAGGCAGGTCCGTTCGCTGCCTGCAGGCTGTGCAATGTCAACCCAGTCCACAGCCCTGCGGTGCCCACTGCCTGTGGGCAGCACTGGTGTCCTAGGGCAGCCCTGCAGCAACAGGCCCAAAGCAGAGCTGCTTCTGGCTCAGGCCTGTCAGCATCTCCATGCAGGGACTTCAGTCTGCAATGATTCAGTCCCTAACAAAAAGATCCCAGAGGGGTTTTGGTAGCTCTGGTCTTTGCTTAGAGCTCCTCCACCACGTGATGAAGCTCCTCTGGGCTTGCAGAGAAGCGTAGAAGCTTTGATGTGTAGGATTTTGGGACCCTTCTGGGGCAGATGTCCCGGGTGTGTGCTGATTTTTCCCTGTCCTTGCCTGGGGACATGCTGGCCCATTCTGCAGCCTGTAAAAACAGAGCTGAACCCTTCAGGTTGTCTGCTGCCACACTTAGCTCTAGTTTCTTTACATGCCCAGGTCATTGCACTGTTACAGTGCAGCATTGCTCCTCCTAACTGCTGCCTCCTATGCAGCATCCCTCTGGGACTGCCACTAGGGTTCCCCCCCCTTGCCTAAGCGTGTAACCCTGTACCTGAGGAGATGTAATCCCAGCCTCCCCCTGCACACACATCTCGAGCCCTCGGCTGTGTGCGGGCAGGGGTGGCTCAGCAGCCCCCCATGTTCCTGGGACAGTTGCTGTCAGTTCTGCAGGGGGTTATATAGGCATTTTCTGTAGTGAAACCCACACAGAATTGCACATAGATGTGACCTCCACATTGCTGTGTCGGCGCCTCTGCTGCGGTTCCTCGCACTTACTCTCCTAGCAGGGTATGGGGCTGAGAAGCGTAAATTGGCCTGCTTCCTCCTCACAGTAACACCACATTTGCAGGACAGAAGTAAACCGTGGGTTCCCTTTTCAGCATCCCATCTACCCTGATCCAGTTCTCATGGCTGCTGACAGCTCCTGAACACTAGCCTAGATTTTCTCCCAGAGCTGAATGTTGCCTTTCCCACTGTCGTGTTAAGTAACCATTTCATCTTGGCCCTGTCCAGTAGTGTTCATCTCTTTCCTCCCTGCTCTGTGGATTCCTGATACAAACTTGATTTTTTTTTTGTATTGAACAGTGTACAGTGATGGAAACAAGAACGACTATCAAAGCAAACAATGCATGGAATAAAAAGCCAGTGTAATTCAATGCTTTTCAGGCTTGTCTGGTGATCTGGGAATGGTTTCTCATGTACTTTGGGATAATGTCATGAAGCCTTTTGATAACTAACATGATGTAGCGAGCAACTTGTTGTTACCTGTCTCTGAACACAGCTGAACTGGAACTACTGGGAGTTCCAAGTAGCAGGGCAGAGGCTTGGTCAGACACATGTAGCCTACCAAGCACCCAGGTGTCCCTAAGTGTTGGCTTTTGCTCTTGTCAAATGAGTGATTTTTGCAATGTGATGTGGGGGATTGAATCTGCAACCGTTACTTCTCATCCTGGGAACCTTGCTGTCCCACTCAGTTCCAACCCCGCTGGTGGGGAGGATGCTAAAATGGATGGAACATTCACTCTGTCAGCTTCCTGAGTGCTCTGGGGTCTCCCATCTGCCCCGTTCCATGCCAGAAAGTTTACTTTGTCCTCCGAGTGGAGGACAAATTCATGGAGAGTAGAGCAAGGAAGTGCAAATACCAAAAACCCAGGAGCATAGTATCATCTTTGGGGGCTACTGTTCTGCAGCAACTGGGACAGAGCCTACCTGCTTATTTGGAAATCTAGTTATACATGAGCAAATGTGTAGGTTTAAGGGTGCTTCTCAAGGACAAATCAGCCAGGCACATCCACCCCCACCCCCCCCCTTAGTCTTTGTGGGATGAGCAGCCACTGACAGACCTCAGAAGCAATCTTGTGTGTTCTGACATATGGATAATACATACAAGCAGCTCGTAGCTGGCCCCAAATCCTGAACGATTTTGCTGCACGGTATGCTTAACATCTGAATGACAGAGGAAGAGCCTTCTACAGCTGTGCAAGCTCTCCTACAGAAGGTGCAGGGACCCTGAAACATCATTACTTTTTTCTCAACTTGGTACTTATACTGCTGCACCTAACAGCACAGAAGTGCACAGTTCATCATTTTAGGCCAAAAATGCTAAATAAGTATGGGTTTGGAGAGGGCAGGGGGAGGAGGGAGTAGGGTCTGCCTAGAGCTGGGAAATGCTGCTACTGGAGTGGTGGTGAAAAATAGCTGCTGTTGCAGCTCAACACAGCACCGTATGCTATGGTGCCAAGGGATGAGACTGGCCAGAAAACCAGCCTGCCTCACTCTCAGAGCAGCAGCTGTCTGCTGCCACATCAGTCACACCATCAAGACTAGCTGGGCTCACAAAGCTGGACTTGGTAGGAAGTGCAGGAGCCCAAGGGAAGCCTGTGACTTGGGCTGGTAAGGAGACCACAGGGAGCATGGTGCTTGCCCCCCTGTGTTCAAGAGCTGGGAGGAACTAAGGGGTTCTGATTTGCCTTCCTCACAGGATGCTAATACTCTTGATTTTTTTTTTTTCCATTGCTAATACATTTGCAGTGGGCTGGCAACGCCCTCAGCTACACTGGAGGCACAGGCTGATTTAAAGGAAACAGGCAAATTAACTGAAGTGTTCACAAAGCCCCTGTATAGCGCTCTCCGTGCAGATACATGCACAGTTAAACATTCATTAAAAATAAGAACTTTACACCTCCTCTTAGACAAGAAGAACGATTAAAAACTGAAATTGTCCTTGGTCCACGGTGGCAGTGAGCATGCAGAATATAACCCCCAGGAACAGAGACCTGCAGCTTTTATGAGGCAGTCCCCCAACATCTGGGGCACCTGAGCTATCACAAGCTCTTTTTGCCATTGAGTAACTGAGCATGCTTGTCTTCATCCAGCTTCAAGTGCTTCTTGCTGTATTTCTTGATGAGGGTCCCTGGTATCAATGCTGCCACAGCCATCGCAAGCAGTTTGAGCAGCGTGTCCCAGGAGAAAATGGCATCCAAAGAGGTGATTTGTGACAGAATGGCTCCTGTCTGCACACAGATGAAATTATACGGTGTAAGACCTGGAAGAATCAGAGAGAAAAAAAAAAAAAGCCTGTTAGCATCCCACCCAGGTAAAATTAGCTCAAACATGTCCTTGCCCAAGGCCAGACACAGGGGTCTGCGCTCATAACAGAAATAACGGGGTGTGATTCAAAACTGCATTGGCAACACACACATATTTGCAGAATGCTCCAAGACCTCCAATTATAAGGGCAGCACAAAGGCAAACATTTAAATGGGGCAGAGTCACAGCTATGACCCTGCTGCTCTACCTTCCCCAGCTCAGTATGCTACCTGAGGCTCGGTGACAAGGAGAGAGGCAATGTCACGCTGCCCCTCAGACAGCCTCCCCAGGCCTTACCGATGAGAACAGAAAAGAAGAACTGGGACACAGGGATGTTTAAAATGGGAGCTGAGAGATTCAGAAACCAGTTTGGTGTCATGGGGAACAGCCTCAGGAACAACAAGAAGAAAAATAAGCAGCTCCTGTTCTCTTCTACCTGCCAAGAGAAACGTTCCAAATTATTTCTGCTCTTCAGACAGCAGTAACATCTGAATGGCCACGATACTAAAGTGAATGTAAGTTTTCTTCTAACGTGCTGCAACATAGCATCGGTCCAGAACTGATGAAAAGTGGCAGCTTTATGTATGTATGTTCGGGAGCCTAATGGTGAGCCAGGTCCTTCCATGCAAGTGATGAAAATGGGATCTAACCCGAATGAGAGATTGGGAAGTCACCAGCAGAGCCACCTCCAGCCATACAGTGCAGCACAGGATGGGTGGAGGCAGGTCTTGAGCACAGGGGCTTCCCAATTAATCCATTATCTTACTTCTGATTTTTCTTGGGATCTGGGATTTTCCATGCACCCCCTTTGCAAACAGCCTTGCTCCCAAGAGAGCAGTCTGCTCCTAGATTGTGTCAGAGGTGGCCCTTAACCGACCTGAGGCATCCCCTGCATGTATTCATTTTCTTACTAAGTCAACCGAAAAAGGCAGCCTCGCCCAGGGGCCATTCTGGGCGTCTGCAGAACCATGGCTGCTTACCTTTCTTTGCAGCAGAGCCACTTTATCAGGAAAGTAGTAGACGACAAACTGCTTTCCGAACGCACCAGAGAGCAGGTAGCAGAAGGTCGCTCCCACAGACGTTAGGGCTGAGCACAGCACCAGCCCGGTCCACGGCCCGAACAGCGCTCCAGCCAGAACGTTCTGCCAGGGCACAGCACCGAGTGAGAGGGAGCCTGGGGACACGCACACGCAGACACGCGTGTCCCCTCAGCCTGGCTGCCTTCGGCCTCAGCCGCTCTGGCTTCTCGAAGGCATCGGGCAGACCCGTCTCCTGTCCCTGCAGAGCTGTGACTCACCCAGCAAGGCACCGACCTTGCACCTTGCCCCAGCAGGCAGGTCCTGGTCCGGGACTGGGTGCAAAGGGCCCCTCTGAGGGCTTCGTACCGGCTCCCGCCCTGCATTCCCCCCCGGCCCCGCCGCCGCCCTCCCGCCAGGCGGCCGTACCAGGAGGCTGGAGCCGGGGATGGCGAAGCTCTGCTTGTAGAGGTAGGCGGCACAGAAGAGGGCCAGCGCCGCGCCCCCGTGCTGCCGCTCGTAGTCCCGCAGCGCCTCGGCCAGCTCCCGCAGCTCCTCCAGGTCCGACGGGAACCGCAGCGGCCTGGGGCGGGGAAGAACACGGGGAGACCGGGAGCACCGGCCCGCCTCGCCTTCGCACCGCCCCCCCC